CACCCTAACCGGTGCCAGAGCTGCAAAGCTGTCTACGAGCGCGCGCTTCTTGGCGGGATCAATGAACTGCCCTTTTACGATGGATCCGAACGACACGAAAATGAAGCCCTCTTTCGAATCGTCCATCCATTTGCGGAGGTCCTGCAAAAATCATAGCCGTCAAGAGAACTGTCAGCTGCGGGACGGGATGAGGCCATGTCAGAATGGTCGCCCACAAAGGCTTGCGTAACGTAAGTCGAGCGTATGTCATCTGCGTGGCTGTGTAAGGCTATGCAGGGATGGCTCGTCCCCCTGTGCGTGTGTGTCGAAAGTCGATCGGCTATCGATACCTTCGCCTTCGGAAGATCGATTTCAACAGTTGTTGCACACGTGTGCAATTGGACTCACCACCGGGATCCTGCCCAGGTCGGCGGGTTTGACGTGCATGCCGCCGACGGGTATGAGACTAGGCGGCAAGGGTCTGGCCGCCTCCAGGACGGGGTTCTCGTTGACGAGAGCCACGTGCACATGCTGTCGTAGCTGTTCCACGGAAGGTGCGTCCTCGCCGAAGAACCTCTTAATGAGGCCGTCCTGCACGGGCCGCCACCACCAGACCATCAACTTGGAGTGCGCGTGAAGGAAGAGGGTCCATGCGCGCTGCCACAAGTTCATGGGGTGCGGGAAGGGCTGCATGGTGTGCGCCAGGATCGACGGCACCTGCGGGTTGTACATCAGGTCGTCGATCCACGGTGAGATGGGGAAGGGAGACACGGCGAGCATGCCGGGGTAGTTGAAGCGGTGGGCGAAACCCAGCATACAGTCTGTATAGTAGTCGATGATGACGAGGTCAAAGGTACGTTCGACGGCTGGGTCGAGCAGACGCTGCATAGTCGGAGAGCCTAGGTCGCGGATACACTCTTTTTCTACCATTTCCTGCATAAGACTGATCTGCTGCACTACCGTGGCCGCCGACCAACGCTTCATGAATTCTGGATGGCTGAGCTTGAAGGCCGTCTCAATAACGGTCGTGTTGAGGGTGGGCGGGTTCTCGCTGTGCTTGTGGATGTCGATGGAGGTGACGAGGTGGCCGCGCTTCGCGAGCTCCACCGTCAGCGCCGACATCCAGATGTGATGGCTCATGGTGCCCACCGTCATGATGGATAGCTTGGCCCAAAATCGAGGGTCAGGACTCGGATTTTGCTCATCGGTGGTTTTTCTATAAGACAAAACGATGCTGGTTACGGTGGACTTTGTCCGGGCGCTCTGCGATGTCGGGAACCCACCGCGCATCGGCGTTCAAGATTTGGGCCCGCGTGGGGTCCGAGCGGGGCGGCGGCTCGCGGACGGCTGTAGCGGCGGCGGCGCGCGGCGCAGGTGAGTCATATTCATATCAAATGTAACCCAGGGGGCCCTCTTTCGAACACCACCTGTCCGGTGGCCGTGCGCCGTATCGTTCAACCTGGCGAGAGAGTTAAAGCCTCCCGGAGTACTTAGGCCCTACGGAGACCAACGTTCATATTTTTGAGGTGCGTGCAGCGCAGAACTCTTCCTTAGCGTCCTATACATCGGCCCAGATCGTCAAAGTTATTTAGCCCCACCGGCAACCCACCGGAAAACAGGAAGTTTTGGCTACTCGCTAGCGAGCGGCGCCCGGATACTGTTTGAAATGAGCGCGCTAGAGCGGGGTGGGGGAACCTTCCGCGCTAGCCACGCTCATGTACGCCCTTTCCACAACGATCTACGCCAGGTTTATTTCGTTTATAGCAAAAGGTCAAAAGATAATATAATTGGCATCTGATACCTGCCGTACTTTTGGCTGGAAAAGGCACACATGAGGGTGGCCGGCGGGGACGGTTCCCCCACCCCGCTCTAGCGCGCTCATTTCAAACAGTATCCGGGCGCCGCTCGCTAGCGAGTAGCCAAAACTTCCTGTTTTCCGGTGGGTTGCCGGTGGGGCTAAATAACTTTGACGATCCGCGCCGATGTATAGGACGCTAAGGAAGAGTTCTGCGCTGC